TCATCCACCACGAAGCCATCGCAGGTGCCAGGGCTCAGCCTGGCTCCCATCCCTGGGGCAGGGCTTTCCTTCAGCAAATGAGGTTAAAATTTGGAAGAGAAGCCTCTCAGCTCTCCGTATCAACTTCGCCATCTCCACCGTTTGTTTAACAGGCTATGGATGGCTTCAAACTCCAGCCAAAGGGTTGAAAATTGTGCAATAATTTACCACAAGAAGGGATGTTAAAAGAAACCTCCTGCTTGTACCGAGTCAGATACTGAATGTGTTAGTTGACAACATGATACGACAGTTAAACAGTGCTATTAAAGTCATAAGCACACAACACTGTCAGTTTGACCGTGCTCCTACAGATTTAGTTTATTGGTCTGGCTTCTCAGTTAACAGCCCATTGTTCCGGACATGCCTGGCTCTCACCTGACCTGAGCGGCGCTAGATGGAGACATGGAGAGAGATGGGTGTCATAGAGCAAGAAACTTACTGTATAGGGAAAAAAAAACAAAACTAACTGTTGGCTGTTTGCAGCAAGAGAAGAAACACGTTGAAACAGCAAAGTTATAAAGGCTACTTGTCTTGTGCCTTGCAGCTTCCTGCTTCTGGCTAAAAAAGTACAGCATATAAATAGAGTGGGCAAGTGTGAACCAACGATAGCAATACACCACTTCACGTTTCAAGTCCATTCAGCAGGGTTGCCTGCAAACAGGAGTGACGCTGCTGATCACTCCTGCGGGCATCCTGGGACAGCAGAGGGGTTAGCAGCCTTAAATCTCAGTTTTCTCCACATAAAAATAAACTTGGCAGCCCTCCCCAGAAAACAAGTACTCTCTTTCCAAAGAAAACATCCTTGCCTGCAGATGCTTTTGTCACAGCAGCAGCGACGGCGCAGAGGAGCCAAATGTGCTTCACAGGCCACACCTGCGTGAGCTCACTGATGTCCGTGTGGCTGATGCCAAGGGAGATGCTTGCTCCCTGAAACACTTTTTGAATTAAAATGTACCTTTGGGGAAAACAGTGGAAAAGAAGAGAAGCCTCGGCAT